ATACTTAAGACATGCCAATAACTAGAAATTTTGAAAAATAGCAAAGGGAATTCTTTCTATCTTATTCATATTGAATTTTTCCTCTGTAGTTTTTCTTTTTAGAAGTAAACTTAGAAAACAAACATACAAAAGAAAATATTTCATTACATAACACCAACCTCTGCCCACAAAATATCCAATTATTAACAGTAAAACTTCTTGTCAAAGTTAAGCTTCAACTAAGTAACAGAAGTTGGTATTATTTTCAATGATCATTTAAGATCATATTGTAAAGCAAATTCAATTAATTTAAAGAATATTCAATGCATTCCAAGAATTTTTTCTTCATTTTAATTTAAGTTTTAAATGGAGTTAACACATTTCCCAAATAGAAAACTATGTTATTTGTATAAATTTCTAGCACTATTTTTCCTAATAAAATACTCTAGAAGTAATGGATTTAATGTTTTAAACATATGTAAACAAGGGGATTGAAAGTGAAAGTATTTGTTGCTCAGTCATGTCCACCTCTTTGCAACCCCATGGACCATAGCCCACCAGTCTCCTCTGTCCATGGAATTCTCCAGGCAAGAATACTGGAGTGGTTAGCCATTTCCTATTCCAGGGGATTGAACCTAGGTCTACTTGCACTGCAGGCAGAATTTTTGCCATCTGAACCACTAGAGAAGCCCAAAAAAGGGGATACATTTATTTAATAAAAGAAATATAAAATTGGTTTTAATTAGTTTCTACCAGAAGTGTATCCTTATTCATGGGCATTATCAAAAAAGTCTCATAAGTATTTATAAATACAACTCATCAATTTGAATTTTTATTCTTTTGTTAGAGTAAATCTCAGGTCTTTCAAACTAATCAAACACTTTACACACTTAATATATAATGTGCAAGTGATAAAAAAAAAAAACATTTGAGTTCAGTTAGAAGGTACGAGAGTCAGAAAATAAATTTTTATGTATTGTACATTACCAACCAGTTGCACAAACAGAGAGCACACAGGTAGCACAGAGTAGATAAATCAGTAAGTCTGAGAAAAGTGTAGAAAATATTGATAAAACTGACATAACAATTATCTAGATATCTGCCAGAAGTTTAAATCTCCTAAAAATCAGAAACATGTATAAATTTCAAGTATGTTTTCTAAAAATGTCTAAGGAAACAAATGGAAATCTCATTTCCTATTGAAAGAGAAAAAGTTAATAATAAAATAGCCAATAGAGAAACTAAATATGCTTTCTCTCATCAAGAGAATATCTAGGAGTGCTAGATTAAAAAAAAAAGACCAACATACTAGGTTTTTGGAAACATCTTTCAAAAGTATTATGGAAAAATATTTAAATACAGATGCATGTCCAGCAATTGTACAGAAGTTCAAGATGTATGGTTCACTCTTAAACAAAATGTGTGAACCAAATTATCATTTATTATGTAGATGAGACCTTGAACCCTTTCTGAGGAAAACAGATTTGCTCTATGTGAACTTCTTGGTAAATTGGGATTTTAAATTACCTGAATAAAATGGGAAGACTTATATTTTAAAATTAATAGAAAAAAGCATAAATATACTATAATATGAATCATACCAATGTTTAACAAATTGAATAGGGTCATGTTTGTAAAAATATTTTAAGAATTTAAAAAAGTTATAAATTAACTTTGAAAGGAGAAAATTGTTTCAAAGAAGTGATAGCAATAAACATATAACAGCTCAGTTTATTTAAGTTAATTATTCTTTACCAACCCCCTACAAAATTGCTTTCTAAGATAAGAGATAAACTTGCAAGTATGTCAGCATATTATGAGGTAACATTGAGAAAATAATATTGCCCATCTGAGAATCATAATAAATGAAGAATAGGGGTGGGAAAACATTTATTTCTCCCCTCAAAAAATTTACACAGCTGTCCCCAGAAATTTATGCAATTTCTGTGGGCAACTGATTCCAACATCCCCCTTCTCCCCTGGGATACCAAAATCCATAATTGCTTAAATCCTTTACATCAGTGGTGTAGTATTTGCATATAAACTTCACATATCCTTCTATATATTTTAAAATCATCTCTGATAATTACAATACATGATACAATGTATATATCATGTAAATAGTTGTAATTACAACATAAAGACCATCTAAATAGTTGCCACTGCCTGGTAGTTTCAAGTTTCAGTTTTTGGAAGTTTCTGAATTTTTTAAAAACATTTTTGGTTCATGGTGGTTGAATCACAGACTCAGAACCATGGATATGAAGGGTTGACTGTATTTGTTTTACCTATCCCTGAAAATGTAATGTTTAATTTCCATTTGATACTAAGTAACTAATGTGTAGAAACTACAATTGTGTTTTTAGAATCTGCACATTCTAAACTAAACTTGACTACACTAAAGTCTTTAACTGTGTGGATAATAACGAACTGTGGAAAATTCTTAAAGAGATGGAAATACCAGACCACCTGACCTGCCTCCTGAGAAATCTGTATGCCAGTCAAGAAGGGACAGTTAGAACTGGACTGGAACAATGGACTGGTTCCAAATTGGGAAAGGAGTACATCAAGGCTATATATTGTCACCGTGCTTATTTAACCTGAATACAGAATACATCATGTGAAGATGAAGCACAAAAAGGAAGTAAGCTTGCCAGGAGAAATACCAGTAACTTCAGATATGCAAATGATACCACTCTAATGGCAGAAAGCAAAGAGGCAATAATCTCTTGATGAGGGTGAAAGAGGAGAGTGAAAAAGCTGACTTAAAACTCAACATTCAAAAAACCAAGATCATGGCATCCAGTCCTATCATTTCATGGCAAATAGATGGGGAAACAATGGAAACAGTGACCAAGTTTATTTCTTTGGACTCAAAAATCAGTATGGACACTGAATGTGATGGCAGCTACAAAATAAAAAGATGTTCGCTCCTCAGAAGAAAAGCTATGACAAACCTACATAGCGTGTTAAAAAGCAGAGACAAAATAAAAAATAGAGACATTACTTTGAGGTCAAAGGTCTATATAGTCAAAGCTATGGCTTTTCCAGAAGTCATGTATGGATGTGAGAGCTCTACCATAAAGTAGGTTGAGCACTGAAGAATTGATGTTTTCTAATTGTGGTGCTGGATAAGACTTTTGAAAGTCCCTTGGTTATCAAGGAGATCAAACCAGTCGATCCTAAAGGAAATTAACTTTGAATATTCACTGTAAGGACTGATGCTTAAACTGAAGCTCCAATATGTTGGCTACCTGATGCAAAGAGCCAACTCATTGAAAAAGACCATGATGCTAGGAAAGGTTGAGGGAAGGAGCAGAAGGGGGCAACAGAGGGTGAGATAGTTGGATGGCATCCCTGACTCAATGAACATTAGTTTGAGCAACTCTGGGAGGTGGTGAAGGACAGGGAGGCCTGGCGTGCTACAGTCAGTGGAGTTGCAAAGAGTCAGACATGACAGGACCGAACATCAACAATAAACAATAGAACTTTTCCTGCACTTGAGAAAAATCATCCCATTTCCTTATGATTATCCATAAATGTATTACATTCCATAAATGTATTACATTCCATAAATGTATTCTATTCATAGTCAGAAGGCATTAACAACAACAACAAAATTCTGTCTAGAGACTAGTTGTACTTCAAGTGAGGGAAAAAATCAGCAATTTTGTAAATGTTCAGTTTATATATAAATGATATGGTAAAATGGAGTAAAATAATGAAAAGAAGGAGGATAGAATATATGTGTGTGTGTTTGGGGGGGTGGAGGGCTTTTACCTGGATCTCTCGCTGAGAAAATATGGGCTGAGTGGTGGTGAAAAAGAATATAAGGAGTGACCCTTGAAACTATATGGAGAAAGTTAATCACTTTTGTATCTTGAAGTCCTTCCTTCACTTTCACTTCGTGAAAGCACATCCTCTTCTGGTCCTACTTCTCCTGACCACTCATTCTCACTGTTTGATGACCACTCATTCTCACTACTTCGATATTTCTCGGCTTCTCCCTCACAAATATTGGGCTCAGTACTTGGCGAGGAATTTATCTTTTAATTCTGATGTGTATTGCTGGTTTGTTTCACTTGTTAAAATATTGAAATGGCGTGAATGAAAATAGGTAAAATATTCTTAGTAACCATGTCAGGTTTTGAAATGCATGTACTATATTTCACATGCAGAAAATACTATTTTTCTGGCTCTGCTTCCCCTCTGTCTGTTTTCAGTTTCTCTACAGAAACACTGCAATGAGGATACCTAAGCTTTAGGATACTATTTTTTTTCAAAAGGAAAATATTTTGTTTCAAATATTGTTTTTAAAGGTTGTGATGAGTATAAATATTGGAATGTGTGTATTGCTTTTAAGCTACCTGGAATATTGTATTTATGTATTCTACCTTTCTCTGTTCCTTAAAGTTCATAAAGTCCAAATTTTGGCATTGCTTTCTCTCAACCACCAGAGATGAAAAATATATCATAAAGCTCTGAGTGGTTTAGTTTTACTTCTGTCACTATTTTACAGATTTGAGGCACATCACATTCCTTTTGGGACTCAGAGTCCTCATCTCTAAAATTCAGGGTCTAGATCATGATCTCAAAGGTCTCCTGAAACAAAAATTATGACTCTAGTGCCTTTGTGTTTACTGACTGAGCCCAACATGTACTGAAAGGCTGTTCTACATCAACACTGGGATATTTGTATTTGTACAAACAATACTTCATGTCTCCCCAAACAGGTGTTCGCACAAAGCCTTACAATTAATTGGCCCCAAGGTACTGTGGGTAATAAAGGAAAACACACACACACATTGAATATTTGTGCCATTCCAGACAAAAAAAATTGTGAATGATTGTAAAGCATGCCATACTACATTTCTTAAAGTCTAATGCAAGGGAGAGCAAATTAGCTAATTCTGTCATTAGAATAAGAATTTGAAAATACTCACATTGGATATTGAAATGTTATAATTGAAATCAAGGGAAGAGCTATTAAATTTACTGTTAATTTTGTTTTTTCTTTAGGTTATTCATACCATCAGTGCCACTGATAAAGATGATTTTGCCAATGGACCAAGGTTTAATTTCTTTCTTGATGAACATCTGTCTATAAACCCAAACTTCACTCTGAAAGATAATGAAGGTGAACATGCATTCATATATTTTTTTATCTTTGTGATATCTGCTTTAACTTGATATGGAGTAAGGCTGAGCAGCTTTGCTCGATTCTGATCAACCCATGAACAGCTTGCAAATCAACATTCAAAGTCAGTTTGACATTAATGTGTTATGATCTGTGAATAGCTTGTATTTAAAATTGAGCCATATGTACAAATAACTTCCATTGAGTTTATTCAGAAGCATCCCTTTAAACAAGAAATGTACACATAATATGCTCTTGGGCAAATTTTAAGAGAAATCTTAGCTGACAAACATGTTTATGAGAGCTGCTAAAACTGCTACGAGGTAGAAAAATTTAAATTAGAAAAAATGAAAAATATGTCCTAGGGACAGTTAGGAAAGGAAATGCGGTGTTTGAAATCATCTTGCATTAGCCAGGCTATCAGGATGTGATATACAAATTATATTTCCTCTTGTTATTATGACTCCTTTTCTAAAATATGGGTAGATACATATGCATAATTATAGAGCATTGTGGAGGTTTTTGAATTATTTTTGTTTAACCTTCTCTATTGTGCGGGAGAAAAATAACACCATTATAACTAGAGAAGATTTACCAAGATTTAGATTCCCTTGTTGGATAAAATTTATGCTTCTGTATGGAAGGGAAGCAGCAAGTTATTCAATATGTACAGTGCTCTGATTGGCATCAACTTTCTTGTCATAACTGTTTTTGATCACATTTATCTGAATATGCTATTATTTAGGATTTAACAATTGCCTTTGAATCACTTGAAAGAAACAATGGCACATAACATTTTGGAGTAAACAGTTGACTTCTCTGTAGTCTTCATGTAGAAATATTTTCAAATTCAAAAGAAATCCCTGACAACCCAGTGAACAGTTTACCCATTATCCCAAGCTTCTTTAAGTTATTATAATAGGGATACTAAATTGTGCATGTGGCTGTTGCAAAATTCATCCAAAAATACCAACCTTGTTTGTTGTTCTCATTTACAATATCCCTGTGGTCAGCTCTACTTATGGCAATGCATACTTATCCATTTTTGTGTATGACAAATCATGTTAATTGACTATTGTATATTTTTTTACATATGTACATCTCACCCCAAAATCCCAAATGTATTTATTATAATTAACCATGCTAAATATGTAAATCTAAATTCATATTGTCCATATTCAAGTAATTGCATATTTAGAGAACATTAAACTTTCTGCCTTAGTAGATTGAAATCTACCATGTTTAGAAATCCATATTTAGGAAGCATATTTATATTTCAGTTGAATTTTTCCATTCCAATAACATTTTATTATACATCTTAAAAGTAATTTTAGTGTGATATAAATAAAAATTGACTTAGATTTAATGATGTGTTTTAGTCAAGCTATTTAACATAAATAATCCCCAAAGTATTTTAGAAAAACAAGAGAGTTTAACTTGTCTAAACCCACATTAGTGATTAAAATTCCTTTATTCAAGATTATTACATCTGACATTTTTCAATTTAATTAATGTATATATTCAAAAGATCTCAGTTCAGTTATTTGACAATGTTACCAGTCCTTTTAACTCACATTGAAGAAACCCCCCTCAAATATATACACACTTTTGAAATGTTTATAATGCCAATGTAAGTGTTTTAACATTTATTTTAACCATGTATATTAATGTTTTAAATCATCTATGCCATATCAAGTATGTGATACCTACAGACAGTTGTGTAGGGGTAAAGATGTAATTTATTTTTAAATGGATTTAATTTATTTTAAACATATTTGGGAGTTGATGAAATTATAAATAGCACCAATAATTTATATTTGATAAAAAAAGCAACAAGATTCTGAAGGAAAAAAAAAAAAGAAGAGAAGCTAATACAGCAATAAATACATGTGCTTGAGCAAACAGTTTTGTTTATGCTAGATTAGACAAGCCACCCAACTTCTCTCAACCTATTCTTACATCCATTAAGTTGTGGTTTGAATTATTTACTTTGTAGCACTGGGGAATAAATGACACTCTGTGTCAAAGTATTAGAGTTAAGATGACTTTTTCTCCAAACAGAAAGCAGTTATGGATAATAATTTATAAAGATGAAATTTAATATGGGATTTATTGTGGGCTTCCCTTGCGGCTCAGCTGGGAAAGAATCCACCTGCCATGTGGGAGAACTGGGTTCGATCCCTGTATTGGGAAGATCCCCTGGAGAAGGGAACAGCTACTCACTCCAGTATTTTGGCCTGGAGAATTCCATGGGCTCACAAAGAGTTGGAGAGGACAGTAGCTAAGTCATGTCCAGCTCTTTGTGATGCTGTGGACTGTAGCCTGCCAGGCTCCTCCGTCCCCCAGTATGTCCTGGAGTTTGCTTAGTTTTATGTACATTGAATAGGTGATGCTCTCTAACCATCTCATCCTCTGTCTCCCTCTTCTCCCACCTTCAACCTTTCCCAGCACTAGATCTTTTCCAATGGGTCAGCTCTTCGCATCTTGCATCCAAAGCGTTGGAGCTTCAGGTTCAGTGACAGTTCTTCCAATGAATATTCACGGTTGACTTCCCTTAGGATTTACTGATTTGATCTGCTTGCAGTCCAAGGGACTCTCAAGAGTCTTAGAATACCCATACCAAAATGAATATATATATATGTATATATATATATTCATGGGTATATAGACAGCTCTCAGGACAACAACCAGGACAAAAACAAAGAAAGTAAGAGTGGCCAAATCTAGGCCTACAGCTTGAGCATTGCATACTGTGAGTTAGTAGACATTTACATGCCATCAGAAGACAGAGAAATCTAGAAGAAAAAATTAATACCATTATTTTTCTGTGCCCACTGCTTATAGCTGAGAGGAACAACAGAAAGCAGACAGAGCCTCCAAGTCAGAATGAGTGATCAGGAAGTCATCGGTTTAGTGGCATCTCCAAAACTGTTTTATGGCAGAGTTACTGCAGAGAAAAAGCTGTTTCAAAAGTTAGACACAGAGAAATGCATATTATATTGATAAGTCTGAAAATCAAAATATTAAGATAGTCAATAGATAATAAGATAATGAGAAAATGAATTAATTCTGAATAATGCAAAATATATAAGTGAACATGAAGAGTGAATATTAATGTTTTAATGTTTAGCATTTTAAAAATTTTTAAAAAATAGCATCTTCTGAAAAAGACTAAGAAGTTATATGAAATGAGAGAATGAAATTAAATATTTGCATAAATATAATTTAAAAATCTTTATCAAAATAAAGCTATAGTTTTCTCATAGATAAAATGTATATAAAGTTATATGAAAATATATATATAGTGTTATATACATAACTGTATAAACCTATTAGCAGATGTTAAACTTTCATTTTATATATACTATGCACATGTATATATCATGTATGCATGCATGTATGCTCAGTTGCTAAGTCATGTCTGATTCTTGCATCCCCATGGACTATAGACCATCGAGTTCCTCTGTCCATGGGATTCTCCAGGCAAGAAAACAGGTGTGGGCTGCCATTTCCTTCTCCAATATATCATGTATACATAAGATATATATTAAAATATAGGTATTAAATATATAAAATGTATACAAAGCCATATTATAAATTTATATTTAGTAGTATATATATATACACTAAGCATATATACATTATCCATATATTTAAAATTTAATTATGTGTGAACACACATATATATATGTATATATACAAACACACATACAGATCAAAAGAGAGAACAATATGAAGAAAAATTAATAGCATTACTTTTAGACTGGACACAAAGGGAGATTTAACAAGGCAGATGGAAAATCCATTAATTCAAGCCAAGTTCAGATAGGTCAAAATTTTAAAATACTATGAGAACACTTAGATATGGAATTTAATCTATTCAGAAGACTTAGGAATAAATTACATCACCAAGCAATATATAGATAGATTAAATTGTACAGCAATTTTTTAAAGTTATAAATATGTGGACTCTCATGATGAAAGTAGTAGAAATTCAATTATATACTTAAATATGCCAATTTAAAAGTGCTAAACCTCAAAGATAAAGATAAAAAATGTTAATCAAAAGAAAAGGGTGGATACATTAAAAGTAATAATAATTTGCTCAGCTGTAACATAGATTCTTGTTAGAAAAACTATATGACAGAAATGATAGCAATTATATATTCAAATTGCTAAAGGAAAAAAATTTGCATTGTCAACCTCTTCTATATTTAGTTAACAGTGGTAAACTATCAGAAATTAAGGGAGGACAGTAAGTAAAGTATTTTTCCAGTGTATAAGAAAATAAGATATTTATTTTTCGCTACTGATGTTTTGACAAATATTATATTAATCTTTGCCTTCATGATCTCTGCAAAAAATAATAGACAAAAAAGGCTTATAATTGATATTGGATTTCTAACAAAGAAATTTGAAGAGTTAACACTAAATTAATAGAATAAGAATCTGTAATTTCCAAAGCAAACCAATTTTTTTAAAAGCTAATCAATCTTATTTTATCAATAGAACAGAGGTCAGAAAGTAGAAGAAAAGATTCAAATAAAAACAATGAAAATATTTTGTGTAGAAAGTAGTTCAAATATATGATAGTCACACTCAGATTAAATATCATTCTTAAAGGTATTTTATTATATTTTAAAAATATAGTGTTATATGCTGCTTACAAGACATATCAAATTCAAAATGTGATAGGAAGTTTTATATAAAAAGGTAGAAATATTGAGCTATTGCTGAAGAATAAAACAAATCACAAACTTCTTTTCTTAAAGCACATAAACAATGAAAATATTTTGTGTAGAAAGTAGTTCAAATATATGATAGTCACACTCAGATTAAATATCATTCTTAAAGGTATTTTATTATATTTTAAAAATATAGTGTTATATGCTGCTTACAAGACATATATCAAATTCAAAATGTGATAGAAAGTTTTATATAAAAAGGTAGAAATATTGAGCTATTGCTGAAGAATAAAACAAATCACAAACTTCTTTTCT